TAAGTTGATTTTATCGGGTTTTGAGAAGTTATTACTATACTAACTTTTTTTAAACGGACGAGAATTAGATCTTATTTTTGGCTATGGAGTCCTGCAGTTCTAATGAAACCTTCTATACAGCTTTTTTTTTTTTTTTATGATTAGTTTTCGTTTTTTTTTTAAAAAAAGTAGACTATATGAATAATGTAAAATTAAGTTGAATTTATTAGCTAATCAGACAAACTTCTGCCTATGAGATTAGGCACTACGATTGGTAATATGCGCCAGCATGTGACAATTAGCCAATAAAATTATACTTGTAAAATTAGTTAACAAAACAACGAAGGTCAAATATATTTTCTTCTACATATATGTTTTCCTAAAACTATTTCATTTATTATTTTATTATACTAAAGTAAATTGGACCTAAAAATCTATAATTACCGTGTTATAACCATCGTCCATTATGAAAATATTCATTAAAGTAAACGTTTTTATATTTTGTAACTAACCATTTTTACATAGGTACTATGTAAAAAGTTATCTATTTTTAAAAAAGAAGTTTGTTAGTTATTTTTTTTTTTACTAAGTCAAATACATTCGACCATTTAGTAATCATTATATACGTAGAAATTTCACCTAAGTAAAACACCTCTAGGTTGTGGATCTTTTTGGATTATTTTGCATAGTAGCTTTACTGAAGATAGCAACGCTTTTACTTTGCACTTTTACTTGTGAAATGTTATATTCTCTAAACTGTATAAATACAATTGTAAGTAATTGACTAATCAGAAGAAAGATATCCTATAGATTACTAGTTGCGGCAATATTATTACGGATCCGAATCGGGTATACCCGACCGGATCCCACTATGGATCCTAATTTATAAGGATCCAAAAATAATCGATCCGGATCTCTTGCGAAACACTGTTTTATTACCAATTTTATAGCTGTTTTCATAAATTCTGGAAATCTGACAGAATTGATCGACCGAATATTTGCTGGTTCGATAAGTTTTGATTCAGCAGTGATAAACTTTTGATTCGGTTGTAATCACATCCGACAAAAGTTTATCAAAACTTAACAAATTGACAAATATTTGGTCGGTCAATTTTCGCCAGATTTTCCAGAATTTATGAAAACAACTGTAATAATGCTGATGAACTGATGAGCCGATGAATTTAAACCGGACTTATTTGAGTGCTGTCAACGGACTTTCAATGATATTTTGTGTAGTTAGTCGTCTATGGAAAATCTATCATGATGATAGTTTTTCCGTAGACGGCTAACTGTATACAAAGTATCATTGAAAATCCAATGACAGGTTTTCTTTTGACGGCACTCATTTAAGATTACATCTTTCATCTTTTTACGATAGTAACGTGGAAGATCACAATAAGTTTAAAGGCTGGATGTGCATTTTGTTTTCGGAAAGTCGTATCTGAATTAGACAAAGACTGCAGTGATTCGTAATTCTGAAATGAAAATTGAGTTTCGTGGGATGGATGGTGAAAAATGAAATTTTCGAGAAAAGTTGTTTTTTTTCGGCTTGCTTCAACTTCTTCATTCACTTTTCAAAATGTATAAAAGCAGAGGCAATTTTCAATGCGATTTCTCAATTTTAAAGTTTGATATTAAATCGTCATAGAACACCATTAACTCCTTCGAATTTTTTATAACTATAGATTATTGAATGAATGAATAACGTCATCTTTAAATTAATTTAAGTAACTAACGCTAACTCCTGACCCTGATTGAATTAATTCTGTCATTTCACGTGGACAAGCCCTTTAACGATTGATATTAAGGACCAATCCAAGTTAACAATTGGACATTTTATTGCAACGGCTTTCCCCAAAAAATAGTAACCATATAAAGGAATAAATACTTTTCAAATGATTGATTATGTATAGTATGTAACTATCCTAATTAAAATTGTTAATTCAAATTTATCCTTAATTCGTTATATCATTATCAAATAATCTGTTCATAGATGAATATTCAAACTCGGCGATTCATGCTCATGAAGATTTATTTCACCATGATACATATTTGTTTTTTTTTAAAAAAAAAAAATCAAATTAGTTCATATTGAAGAATCTATATTCAATAATGTTACTATAAACAACACAATAAAGAAGTACGTATATTATATTTTCGGTTTCTGATCTTTGCACGAAACCATTTCTCAGCTACTAGAAAGAATTTACAAATGGTTTTTGTTACACAATATGCAATGACGACAGAAAACTTTACGATTTTTTTGATTATTTATGTATTTAAAAAAACTGAAATTTCATACCACTTTGAATGAAAAATGGTATACTGCTACACTTTCGAACAATTAAAAATTCATTTTATCGTTACCAAAAAAAAAAAGAAAGAAAAAATTTATTAAAAAAAAAATAATATAAGTTCTATTATACATTTGTTAACTCTTCTATATACAAGAAAACTTGTACAGATAAATTTTTAAATACATTTTAAGTATATATAATTTTTGGCATAGTTATTTTGAAAAAGAAAATTTATAAATCTATAAATAATCTTAAAAAAGACGAGCACTATGGCTTGTCGGTTGAGGACGAGCACTATGGCTTGTCGGTTGAAGAAGACGAGCACTATGGCTTGTCGATTGAGAAAGGCTATGGCTTGTCGGTCGAGGAAGACAGTAAGAAGACATTGCTTCAAATATAAAAAAAAATTTTTTTAAAAAAAATAAAAACCGACAGCCTTGGCTTGTCGGTTGAGGAACCAATATCTTGAAAGAATTAGAGTGTTCCAGATATCATCATTTGTTGGTTGAGCGATAGCTCCAAAATTTTTTTTGACGTTTTTCGACATTCTTCGAAGTTTAGTCGTAGACTTCATATAAAAAAAATTTTTTCTAAATCTTTTTTTTTTTTTTCTTTCAGCAGAAATAAACATTTGTTTTGTTTTTGGAAGGAAGTAGAAACTTTATTCAAAAGTAACTTCTTTTATAACCGCGGAAGAAAAAAGTTAATCCGTTAACGTTGTGCTTTTTTAGAAGTTTGGCACAGCTTATCCGCTTGCTGCCGAAAAAGGATAAATTGTACATACGTATAAATACTGCGTGATTTAAATTTTTAACATGAAATTCAGGGCTTTTAAATACCAGATATTGATATATGACAATACGACAATTTGAAAGATTATAAATCAAGAGTGAGAAAAAAAAAATTTCTGGATTTTGATGTCAAATTCTTATCAATATTAAATCAACGGACAATTGGATAATCCATTTCAAAAGTAGGAAATATCCGGACTTTTAGATAAGAAAATTACTTTTTATGGCTTAAATATGTACACAATTGTACACAATTGATTAAAAAGATAAGTACGTACGTACCACGTATAACGATAAATCCCAACTATAAATCATAAACTAATAAGTCAATTGTGAAACAAAAAACTTTTTTGAAAAGCGCAATATGTTAATACTTGGTTCCAATCACTTTAAAAGCTTTATTTTCCAAACAAGCAAAGAAAACAATCCAACCCACAATAAAATTTCAAAAATTGATAAGAAAACAATCCAACCTACAATATCTCTGTACATGTGACCGAATCTTATATTATGGACCCTATTTACATTTAATATACGAGTATAAATTATATACAAAAAAAAGCTGTGTAGAGAAATAAGAGAAATAGGGAGGAATGAATAACATTATGAATGCATGTGTTCGTATATGTGTGTTAGGGATAAGAATATATGTATACGAAATTGTTTAAAAAATAATTTTTTTATCAATTTATATATAATATATGTATGCGATAATTAAAAAGTGTAGACCATAAAGGAGATTGTTCATTCTCTTCCCAAATACTGTACTGTAAAAGTAAGGACATAAAACATCATCTCCTTGTTTCACAATCCCACAAAACTTTTCCTTCCAAATAGGATTTCTATTGTAGTTCGTTTTCGACGATCATTTCGTGTACTTGTTCCTCCACCATTAGATGACGATCTTGAAGTATCTCGTGAATTCTCGGTACCTGTATCTTCTGGGCTGCTTACGTATGTCATGTGTGAATATTTTGATATTGAATCGGAATGCAATGCTATTAGCAGAACGGTACATCCAATAACAAACGAGAGGTCATCAGTGATACGAACTATCCAAAAGTTACTAATTGTCGCGTTTAAAAACACCGCGACCAATGTATGACCAGTGATGAAGAGGAAGGATAATATCAATGATATTGTTAATATTCCAGCCTAGAAACAAATAATTAATTAATCAATAAATAAATCAATTAATAAATTAATTAATAATTCCCAAGTAATTAATTACCTCTAGAATTTCTTTATTTGTCCGAACCCTCCTCGCTTGTCCATTATTTCTTTGTGTAGTTGGATCGACGATAGGGACCAGATCATTTTTTCTTGCCAATATTATTATACGACCAAATATTGCATATCCACAAATTGTCAAGAGAATAAAAATAATTTCCAAAATGACATAGGCAATTATGAAAACTTTTCCTAATGTCAAGGTTGCATACACATTCGCAAGAACATAAACAAGAAAGGAAATAATTTTGATCGGCCCATTCAAAATAATTACAATAAAAAAGATTCTGCTAATTCGACGAACAAGTATAACTCTATAATCTAGATCATCAGCAAGGTTCCGTGTTGCCTTTATCCTAATGTAAAAAAAATTTTATCATTAAGAAAAAAAAAAAGTAAAATAAAATTTTTTTAATGTTTTAATCTTTTGTAATCTTACCATGGGAATAAAAATATTGTGTAATTAATGCACATAAAAAAATAACCTAAAGCAACAATACTTTGATACACAATATCGGACATTCTGTGATAACGTATACCCCATGGGTCATAAGTAAATATTACCGGAAATACTTTAAATAAAAAATAGAATTAATGTTAATCATTATTTCATAAAAATAAATTACAATAGTATTATAATAAATTATAACAATATAATAAATAGTGATAATATAAACCATGATGATTTAAATTAAAATACTTACAAGTAGCACACAAGATAATCCCAGCGAGTAACCATGGTTTTGGATTATCTAGGGTATAGTTATTTTTGTAAATGCCCCATACAATAAGTCCAAGTGCTATTATTATAATACAGACGTATAGGATCCCAACAATTATTGTCCATATAAGAAATTCTTTACTATTAAGTAAATCGTTCCAAGGTCCAGAATCTTAAATAATAATAATAATAATAATATTTAAAATATATGAAATATAATTTGTAAACAACTTGTTAAACGAAATACCTCGCGTAACTACTGCATATGAGGTTTGATTCAAGAAATCATAAACATTTGACATGTCTGCTATTCGTATCAAGGTCAGGGCAGGTGCAGTTTTAGAAAGTGTCTGTAAACTGCCAACATACTTTTCTTTAATGCCTGGATATCCACCATTCATTGAAGTAAATATCAGCATTTCTATTCCTGGTGAACTATCATTTGTTGTATCACGTGGATTTATATGGTTCATGACCTCGCGTTGTTTCAATTTCAGATCCCGATTCCAATGGTCCGGTCGACTTGTTTCAGATGATATATTAATCGTTGTTATGGTACCAGGATTACGTGTCATGGTAGATGTAGGTGTATCAGTGGGATAACCTGTCGTGGTATGTGTTACCATAGAATAATATTCCGAGGTGGAACTCTGATAAGTCGTAGATGGTTTCGATGCTACAGTAACACTATCAATAATCGTTTGACTCCTTTTCTGGAGCCATATGTTACTAATTTTTAGAGAATTAAATGTACGTATAAAATATAAATTAAATTGGCAAAAAAGAAAAAAAATTATACAAAGGAATAAAAAAGAAAAATAAAATAAATTGTATGTTATTATTACCTTTCAATGATATCAGAATAAGATGAACATCCATAATTCAATCCTTCATTAAATGGTACCAATAGTATGACAGTATTTATAGGAACAGGATTTAAAGTACAAGATTTGTCGTCGCTAAAAGAAGCAATCGTAATGGTACCATTGACTTGTTTAGATGGGAATGTATTCACCCACATAAAGTCTACAGTAGAATAAGTTCTAATAAGCTCATTGGTTGTATTATAAAGAGACAGGCTTGCATTGCAGACTTGGGAGAATACGAGCAGAATAAGGAGGATTAGAAAAGACCCATTGAAAGATGACGTATCTATAAGATTAACCCGCCCGAACATAGCATGAATTAAATCGCGCAATTTTTTTTTCTTAGATGAATAAATATAACGATAACTATATTTAAATTACACCAAGTTTAATTCGGAACACACTATGTTATATTCGTTATATATATATTAATATGCCAAAGAATATATGGCAAATTAATATGCCAAGTTCGGGCGTATCGTAAAAGTATCCACCTATAAAGTAAGGCACAAGAAAGAAAGCTGAGATTGGAAAGACGTTAAATTTTTCGGACATAAATGGGGTTTTTATAAATACCGAGATTAACAAAATTAGCTGCAGCTAATTTTAATTAGCATTTACTCTATGCTGCTATGATGTGTATATGTATGTAACTCATTTTATATTAAAGCTGCCTTTTCGGGAAATGTTTATTTCTTTTTAGTTGATAAACAAAAACTGATGGACGTTAATTTCGGGTAAATCGATCTACATTTTTTGGTTAAAGTAAAAGGTGTATTGGTTTGATGAATTTACTAAAAAAACTAAAAAAACCGTGAGATGTTACTATCGTTAGGAAATAAAACCGGGAACAGTTTCATTACTATCTGCACTCAATTGTCGGTGATACATTTTTGTTTGCATTTGGAGTAACAATCTTTAGCCTAATATGTAAGTTTATCTCCATGAGGATGATTTGATAGGTAAGTTCCTCTTCTTTCTTTATGATCACAAATTGGTTCGAACTTCTCTTTGAATAGTTGTAGAAACTATGATATGGCTTGGGAATCTTTCTAATTCAGGTTATTTGTATTGAGATTAACTAGGAAACTAGGGTGCTTTAGGACAAGGACATAACTCCTGGTCTTTATAAATCTTGTAAACAAACTTTTTAAGGCATTTGTATTCATAATCGCATTCCTACTTATGTATGTATGTACTTGCATGCTCGTAAGGAGCATTACATAATAGCAATTGATGCATCTATGATAAATCTTATTTATTTGACCGAGTTTATTTATACCCATGTGACATACAAAACATGTCGACTTCATATATTTTTGAAACTGAAGGCCCCCTGCCATCATCTGCAAATGAAAGATTTTATTTAATTTAAAGGCGCATACGAATAGTGAAAAATAACCACCCAATTTGGAAATATTTGCACACGAATTTATAATACATAGATCCCAAAGTCTTTTTTTTTCGCCATGAAATTTCATCAAAAAAAAAAGGGAAAAAGGTACAAATTATAAATGATGAATGCATAACCCTATCCTCATACAAAATAAAAATCCTTGTTGTTGAATGTTACATTGACTTCTTTTTTTTAAGGAAAAAATTTTTAAGTTTTCTCGTGACTTTAAATGTGTAGTTCCCGGAGAACACGGAGGGCACTGAACCACTTAAATGTTCGACAATTTCACTACGCAAACAAAACAGCGATCCTTTCTGAACACCAAAAAAAAAATAAACACATGTTATTTCCTTATTAAGGCGTAATGCAATAGGAAATCTTTCTATTTCATTCCATTTTTTTTAACTTAATTTGTCAGATGATTTCTCTTTGTCGAAGAATTCCTGAATCAGCGCTTTTATATCTTCATACTACATCTTGTGGCTTGAAACTTTTTATTTACATGTTCGGTTTTTAGTGAATTCATTGTCTCTTGTTGTTAATCGATTATGGTTTAAAATATGTAACACTCAGAATATAAAAGTTATAGACGCACAGCGATAGTGATCATGGAAAACCAAAATTTTCGACTGACATAGTCGATTGTTGACGATTGTTAGTCTTTACCAATTTTGGCCAATTTTGACAATTCTTTTTTTTTTTTAAATAAAATCGACATACTAAAAAAATTGGCTTAGCTGACTTTTCTTGTGCGTCAAATCAGGTCAAATCAAGTCAGATCAAATCAGATTAAATCAGATCAAATCAGAATGGACTTTAAACATGTCCTATCACCTGTAACTTATCCTAGGTTCCGAAAAAAAATTGTCTATAAAAAAAGGAATTACGCAAATTTATTAAATTATGCCACCATCTTTACGTGAAATGTTCCTGATCTGATTTTATCATAGACACGAGGACACGAGACAGGTCTATTTCCTAAATTTTCTTTTTTTTGTAACCAAAACATTTAATGTCCAGTACGCCACTGATGTCAATTACCGCACTGACTGTATCTTTGGGTGTGTTTATAAATATGTAGTATATGGTGATAGTGATAAAAGATATTAAATGTATCAGATTTATTTGTTGCACAAAGTAAAAGCTACTAAAGTAATTTAATTATTATATAGTGTTAATACGTATATAAAAAAATAAAGGCACCTCAACATTTAATTAAAATGAAATTACAGTAAAAGAGTTGAAGTACTATAAATGATTATTATAATATATACATATTGCAGTTCATAAACAATGTTATCAAAGACACATGTAGCCTTGCTACCCCTCTACCTCTCACATAATTATGTTATACGTATAAGCATTATTATATACTCAAAAAAAAACACAATAATAATAGTCCTATTACTTTGATTAAGCAAATGATTTTTTAATATATTCTTATTTTTTAGTAGAAATTCTTTCTTATTTTTAAAACAGATAATTTTAATATTAGTTTTATTTGTGTTGCTGGCTAGATTCTACTTGAATTTGTTATAAGTTGAATCTAAATCATAAATTATATATATAATAAATATAATCAAAAGATAGTTTTCTTGTTTTACTATAATCTAATTACCTTAAAGTTAGCTTGACATTTTGATTGTCTAATAATCAAAATTAATAACTTTATTTATTTTATTTTATTTTATTTATTTATTTTTTGTTCAGCATTTTATATTAGAATCCCTTGCAATTTAATTGATTAATATACTGGTAAAAAATTAAAAAATTTGACACGTCAAATCTTTTAATTTTTGCCAGTAATATTTTTTATTAAAAGGATCTATAGTACAAAAAATTAAAAAAAATTAAACTTACTAGTTTTGTACATTAATAAGTAATAACACTATTAATAAAATTGAACTTGTCAAAAAAAAAAAAAAAAGTAATACCAATATTATATAAGCTTACAAATAATATAGTAAATATGAAGAAAATTGTAAACTAAATTAGGCAGATGTAAAATATTTAATATCTATTTAAAAAAGCCTAATACGTATTAAAACTTTAGATCTGATATCATCCTTGATATACAGTAAATTAAATAAACTAAGCTAAAAATATACTAACTTGATGGAAGTCTAGATCTCTTGCAATGTAGGCGATCCCTTTAATAAAAAATAGTTTTAACCAATTGACTATAAAGTGAAGTCACCTATACTGTAAAAAAAATCCGAAATTTTAAAATAAATATTAGAAATTTATAATTTATTAACTAGTATTAAAAAAGGCTTGTAATATTTGTAATAAGTATAGACTCTTGTAGATTAACTCGAATGAATTGACGTACTAAATTAGAAAATAAAATAATCTGCATTTGACATCAATTTTCAAATTTGATTATCTCTTGTGCACCTTTTTTCAAAATTTAATTATAGATTGATATACAAATAACTAACATAAATATCTAATTTATATTAATAGAAATATAAATCGATATATACTGTACCTTTAAATAAATTAAAATGCAGCTTTTAAAAAACTAGTATAATAAAGAGTTGTTTTTAAAGTAAACCTTTATAATAAATCAACGCGTCATTTGTTGTTCAATATTAGTAATTTTTAAAAGCAACACCTACTTCCAGCATGGAAATTTACTATTTCCACCATACGACATTTATATAGCTGTATGTCATGAACAAGACATGGTAAAAATGCTAAATTTCCATGGTGAAATAGGTATTCCTTTTTTAAAATTATCACAACAAATCTACCTATTTTGAAAAGTCATTAGTGGCATATTGTTTAAATATAAAATTTTGCATTTATTTGAGATCGAAATATATATGTAAATTTAAATCAGCATATCATTCAAGGTTTTTACACTTATAAATTCAGATTTAGAACGCGGTATCATCTATTTTTTCATCAAGTGAGTGTTCAACAAGATATAATACCTAAATTAACGATGCTTGATTCGTGTTTTCTGTACTTTCTTGAGGCTCGACTTGATTATCATGTTCATTTTCAATAGTCGTTTCTCGAGACTCATCCTGATGATCATTTTCATGACTCACATTCCTGTCAACTTTTTTATGAAATGTTAATGTAGAATTCCTAACCGCATTAATCGTAATACTATGATAAGTATTTAAAGAAATTTTATAATAAACTTGGGGTGTTTGAAAATGATTTATTTCTACTTTAAGACCTCCTGTATTTAAATTCTGATTGGTTGCTAAAGTTTTGGCAACTTGTGAACGGCGATAATTTAATATATGATATCCTACGTGATCAAATTGAGACACTAGACTAGAAATTCCTGGTAATTTTGGGTCTATTTCGGCTGGGAAACGACCCGACGAATAGAATTTGAAATCAATCTTTCCTTTGAAATTAATACGAGCTTCAAGTATAGCTTCGGAAAGCATGTCAACAAAACAATCAACTTTGGCACCAGCCATATCAAGTAAGCTCACGCGACCTTTACTGGGTTGGATTTTAAAGAAATCAAGTTCACGTTTTATGTCACTCATCGATGGTTCCAATGGATTAGTTGGCCATGTAATTTTTCCATATCGATAGAATTGCATAACATATTTGAAAGCAGTTGAGTCTCTATCAAAGAAGAATTCTTTCACCTCCTTAGGTTCTAATTCATTCAAAAAAAGTTGTCCTAGCAGAGTATCTGGGTAAGCGGTGAGTGTTGAACGATACGTTTCAAACTTTAATATAATGAAATTAGAATATTAATTATTTTTAGAAAGTGTAATAAAAATCGGATAATATTTAAAAATATACATATATTATTATATAAATCAAGTGGCGTGAGAGGAAAGGTCTTACTTTTAATAATAAATGAAATATTCCTAATAAAATAATAATAAGTCATTCGACAAACCTTCACACCACCCACATTCAATACGACGCGTTCCTCTGCTTTCATTTTGTCAAGTTCTTCAATGGCTGCTTCTGTTGGGCTTTTATCTTTTAAACCAGATCCCAGTAATAACTCTTCATAAGACTTTCTTGGTGAAACATATGTGAAATCTCTCTCAAATGTTGGTTTAGTTGAAACAGTGGATGAAGAACCACCCGTGTTCTGTTCATAAGCATTTACTGCACTTTGTGCATGAAAAGTCCGTAAATGTTTTATGACCGGCAAAGTGCCTCGCGAAAGAGTCAGAATTCTTTGCATAAAAATTTTTTTAAAAGTTAATATATATTTTTAAACCAAACCTTTATTACTCTCTCCATTTCAAAGATATTCAAAACTCTTTTTTATCGGCATAAAACGCGTTTTCTACACACCTTAACCTTGATAGCATTTCGGTCAGAAAAAAAAGCAAATAAAAAAAATTTTAATCTAGATGAGATTTTGATGAGAAAACTATTGGCTACGATCACTTACACTTATTTCTGCAAGTGATACAAATCCAAAAAAAGAAAATTTTCTGTGTAGATCGCAATCTTAGTATAATGTGGCTTTTCCGATAACTCAAAATTTTGTCTAAGAAATAAGAAATCACCTTTGACGTTCTAACAAAAAAAAAATTCCTGGCCAAAATTTACTATACTACGCTTCTTAACCCTAACCCCAACCCTGGTCAAAATTTCACGTGCTTTTAGCGAAATAACAAACGAATTTTTACTATTGGGCACGTGATTTGTATCACTTGCAGAAATAAGTATTTCCTGCGATCAGATTCTCAAAAGTATTATTATTTACCTAGGGTTGTAAATTAGATTTCATCATTATATATCGAGAATCTTAGTTCTCAGAAACTGCATTACAAACTAGAAAACGGAAACCGTTATAAGTCCGGAGCGAAATCACATGAGATTTGTTGTGTTACACGAATATGCAAGTG